GCTTATGATGGTTAGTTTTAGGACACGTTTAAATTAGCATCCTTATGCTCATATGTTTTGCATCCATTCATCTGTTTTGTATGCACCAGGCTCGGCTCATCATGCTAATTGCATTGTATTTCAATTCCAAGTTGAATACATGTATCGGTTGTTGCATTTCATATGCCATTTTAAAATAGCCGTGCCTATCTTAGTTGCATTTTTGCATATGTTGCATTAGGCATTCCAGCATAGTTAGGATTCATGCATGATTTCTAATTAGCTTCTTTCTTTGGCTTGGAGTACTCGGTAAGTATTTATGTTTTAGCTTCCTTCCATGCGTGTGAGTGACTGCCATGATAGCATGCTTACCATGAGGCTATTTGCTTATGTGATATAACTGCTTGAATGCCTGTGAGTGAAGGTTGGGTTGCTTGAGTTGGAATAATTCGTCGAAACCCGTGTTTTAGCCTACTTACGAGTAGCAAACTTCAATCCATTTTCAAAACAAACGGATATGCGATGCTTTGTTCCAAATTAGGCAATCTAGTCTATACTTGTATGTTATGTGCATCACATAGTAATTCTAGGTTAATAACTGGAATAAGAACGCATAATGTTTTCAAAACTCGATATCATGGCTAGTAGGGTCCGATCTTTGATCGGGCGAGCGGGGGTGCTCGCGAAGTGACCTTCCCCAATCGTACCCAAGTTCCCGAGCCGAGGCAACTTTGGTGATGACGAACACGTGGTCTTAGGCACGAGTCAGGGTTTCCTAAATTCCCCCAAAATAAATATTTAGGTGGCGACTCTGGCAAAGTAGTCAATGTTTGGCACTTCTTTCTTAAAAATCTGTTTTCCAAAACGATTTGTCGAATTTGGACTCTTTGGTGATTTATCGGTCTTGCATTGCACTCTACGAGATTAGACACAGGACCATGAATTTGAGTCCGAACTGTAGTAAGCCCCAATGAACGAAACGAGATTCCCTTCAGGGACGTTCGGGGACGTCTACAGTTTCTGGCGACTCTGCTGGGGAGTTCAGAGAACTTAACTTGAACTCATGATATCTTGTTTTGACTACACTTTGTGTTTCTTTGCACTTACATTTGCATTGGTGCGCCTAGGGCACAATGTTTGTCGTCTGCTATTCCTGAACAATTTGCCGGAGGCTCGCTTTGAGAACCATGCCATAAGGTTAACCGGTTACGAGCTCTGCCACGATAGGAACACAAACCCCGGTTTTTATCAGGGCACCCTTTTTGACCATTCGACCTAGTGCATGTTCAGAATTCCAAGCTAGGACAGGTTACTTACCCGATTATAGGTTGTTTGAAACCGCCACGTGCATAGTGAAACCCTAGCTCCTAACAAAATAGGACAGGGAAACCTTACCCCAACATAGGGGCGTTTTGGGCTCTCACTTGTTTGCTATGTGCTTTTAGAGTGTGTCTCTACAGGAATGCATGTATCAGTTTACAAGTTTGGGTATCAGGCCTGCGGGCACTAGTTCAGTACTTTGGGAATCAGTTATCTGTAGGTAACAGATTCAGTTTTGGGGGCAGTGATTTGGGAACAATGATCAATGTTTGAGAACAGTCTATACAGCTTATCAACTGTGTGTTGTGATGCCTAACTGCGTGTTGTGTGTTTATTTACGCTGTTATGCTGCCCGTTTATCTGGTTGTTTATTTCCTTATTATTGCTTTATTTATCTTTTTGCTAGGTAGCTTAGCACAATTGCTTCAAACCAAGCAGATATTCCCCAAGCACTCTAGATTAGAGGTCGCCGACTCAATCGATCTGAGGATCTAGTCGACGGACAACCAGTGTTTTATTCCTACCCCCGGCTATCAGACGGAGGTCGAGAAGACGCAATGTATCCGAGCAGAGGTTGCCAGAATAGTGGTCTACCCCGTCAGTGGACAGTCAGGTTGAGATTTCCGAGTCTACAATAGAGATAGACATACCGGTAGTTCAGATAGATCAAGGCAGTATGGCAGGAAT